TTCCTATTCTTTTTCCTTTAATCCTTCAACCTTCTTCTAATTAACTTGAAGTCTTAATACGTTCTTTATATCCAAGTCATTCCAAGTCTGTAAATTAGCCAAATGTGTAATTAAATAATCGTCGTCATCATCACCATCATCAACATTGGACTATTAACAATAGGGTTACTGTCCTATAGTGAGGTCTCATGGCCTGAATCATTGATGGAATGAAAGCCAATAGTCCTTTTTTCCAAGAGATGGGATTTGTCATAACCCCAACGCTTGGCAAACGAGATTGAACTTGGAGATTGAAGTTTAAAATAAGCTAGATTATCAGGCAAGTCTTTCTTAACTGGGTTCTTACGGCAGCTGCTGGAGTGATCAGCGTGGTGAAAAATCTGTTTTAATCTGCCGTTACCATTGGCTTAGATAATATAGGTAAGTAGCACCTAGTCAATACGTCCTCAAGGTTATTCCGTAATAGGAATTTAGTCGTGGGGTCTCTAGAACATTTTGTTGGCTATGTTTGCACTTTGAAAATGACTGAGACCTTTGAATTTGTTTCAGAATAGTCGGTAGGAAATGTTGGCTTGATTAAAATGTGAAAAAGTGAATGTGCAATGTACAAAAATAAATAATCCTTTCATTACGGAGACTTTATAATTTTATTACTAGGTACCTATACCGATTTGTGTGACGAAGAGGGCTCTCGCTCAACATCGTCTACACCACCCTCCAACAATTCTTTTTGGTTCTGATGGAAAAAATCCTACACTTTCTGGTCTTTCTTTCCAAATGATATTTGGCCTCTAAATAACTTTTTCCTTTTGTAGACAAGACTTTGAAATAAGTAATGTTAAAAAGAAACATTCTGTTGTTCTTTATTTATTGCTACTCGTACAAGATTAAAACAACAAAAACTTTTGTAAAATACGTTTTGGAAAGCCCTTTGTCACGGAACTTCATTTTATTTATTAGTTTTAGAATTATTTTATGAAAACTCTTTTATGATTTAATCAATACCTAGTTTATTTACGGTAGGTAATTCCAGTTAGGAAAATTAAACAAATTGATCTTTTGGTTAAAAATGGTTTAACAGATAATTTAATTAGAGGTAGGTATATCCTGAAGGTAGGTACTAAATGTGTACACTATATAGGTACCCACCTAGGCAACTGACCTTAATTTAGACCATCTTCTATACAGTAAGGAACTAGGAAAAAATGTTCCTAAGTGACCTGATTTTTTAAAGTTCCTGAGTTTACTGAGGTAAATAAAAAGGTTGGTAACTGATTTAATTATACATAAGTTAGTAAATAGGTATTATAATTATATACTGGTTAATGATTTCAAGCGTTATTAAATTTCTACTGACTTTTTTAACAAATCTGAAAGAAACAAACTAAATATTTTTTACTTACCAGTCACGCCTACGCAAAAAAAAACTATTATCAAACAACTTCCACATTCCAATCACGTCGCCAAAAAACGATAGGAAACAAGGAAATTTCAGTATAATTTCATAAAGTTTTCAACTACAAAACTGTTTGAAGTTTCTTCATTCACACCCCACTTCAGCAACTGTCGTGGCCAATCGGGTGCCGTCGGGTCACGCAGAAAGCCGCGCCCACGAGCGCTGCACTACGCATGCTTTACAACCGAGGAGCGCTCACCCAAACAACGTCTCTTTCCCACCCATACATTACAACCCAGTGCGGTAGAGACAGCAACACATTTGCCATTATGATTACATGCAAATTTTTTATTCATTTGCAAATTAAGTGTTGCATTAAGTAATTATGTGTTATTATGTTGGTATCACGGTTTACTTCGTCGTTTAGTTAAAGAAACGCGTGATGTTCCATTTATGCTCAAGGGTTGTGCAATTGCATTTATATGTAAGTAATTATAAACAATAGACCACAAAGAATAGAGGTAAGTACCTACACACACACACACCTATTAGTATATAAATTACCACCACCTGCATATTTATGATAGGGGTGTGAAAAAAACCTTACCTAAAACAAAGTACCACCTTCTCATAATTAAAAAGAAAATCATTTTGAGAAATTACATTGCCATAAGAAAGTATATGACATTCATTTGATTAAATACTTTTAAATAAAATAGAAATGGTTACGTATTTGCTTAGCATTAAAGTTTAATTTTCAGTACTTATTAGCAATTAATTACTTCAGTGATGGTGCTCTAAGATTATAAATACGTATAAGTGAGACAAAATGGTTAATTGACCTTTTGTAAAGGAAAAAATAAACCACTTTGTCCCTGTATTTACATCGATTGCTTCAGATAAAATGGCATGGTTTTAATTGCCATTTATACGAACTTACACTAATTAATCTACTAAAAAAATTAATCTCTATTCGTTATCCTGAAATGTCTAAGAAATCGTTGTTATATATCCATCTAGGTATGAGGTAAGTACATAGCCTAATCCAATTTACATAATATATACTTACCTATATGGATATCATACCTCAGTCATCGGAAATTCCAACCCTATTTCGAAAAATCCAGTAAGACAAGAGTCCTATCAGAACATCAATCTGATACCTACATCTTAAATTCTACACATTCCTTAACTAACCAAAATAAATTATTTAAAACCCAAAAACCAGTTCCATATTAAATATCAATAAACAATTTTTAAATAAACATATTAATATCATCCTTTTCTTTCTTTAGGAGAAAAACAGGGACAGGTATAGAGTAACCCTTAAGTCGTAAATTATTTGAGTCGAGGTTGTTGGCACACATGTGCATTTGTCGCGTGACTAGCCGATTATTAAGTTGTAATAAATTTTGTGGCCCACGGGACATGGGGTAGGTGTCTTTTGGGACATCCGACAGACCTCCTAATTTTTTGTGTGATTAACAAAGTAGGATGGAAATACCAAAACCTGTAGGAGTTCGTGATACATAACTTTATGTTAATTCTGATCGAAGAATTTACAATAAATTAAGCTTTTGGAGTATACACAATGCCATTGTTGTTCGAAGGTGATGAAGGTTTGGGTCCAACCGTCTGCCCTGCGAATAAGAAAAATGTCTTTAGTCATATTGGATCTCAAGATTATTAGATATACGATAAAATATACATTAAAACATAATCCCTTTTCGTTATATTTTTCCTTTATAACGCAAACAGCTTAAAGTAGAAGTAGGAATATCAAGCAAAAGTTGAATATGAGTAACTGACAAAATTGTTTGCGGAAACAACCAGAACACTTAACGCAGATGATGAATACGATAGTAAGTAATTCATCTCATCAGGTATCAACAATAACAACTAATAAAGAGAAAATAAAGTTCAAAATCGAATAAACTGGGAAAAACACACAAGACATAAAAATTCTGGCGCCTTTGTAACTAGAACGGATGATCAGTGGTCAGAAGAACCATCGAAAAATACACAATAGAGGCTGTTAAATCTACTTTACACATTTTCTAACAACTTATTCAGTTTTCATCTTCCAATTGTTTTTCTTCATTTCAAAAATAAAAAACGTCTAACACAGCTTTCTAGTAAATTACACACAGTTTAGCATAATAAGCAGACGTGACGAAAGCCGTAGTTAAAATTTAAAAGCCAAACATTAAACCATGAACTTCATTTGCATTATCCAAACATCGAAAGCAAAACATGTACGCCGAATTTGTTTGAGAATCGTGTGAAAAAACAATAAATCCACTGTAACATTACGCTATTAGTCAGGAGGGTCGTCAGCAAGTGGCGTACTATCGTCATAATTAGCACTTAATTATAATTAAGCCAGTGTACAAGACGAATGTGAGTCGTTAGCGGATCGCGGCGACTTTATAAACTGTTTGTGATACGTTGACTTTCATGTATTTAATTCGTATTTGATGGTATGATTTGTTCTATAGTCAGTTGGCAATGGGCTGTGATTTCAGCAATGATGTTTAAGTAATGTTCCTATTTTTCGAATCTGATTAAACGATATTTTTAGTTATCGAGGTGTAAATATTCTGCTGTAACGTGTTCATCTTTACGAAATACACAATTAAAGCAAATTTTATAGCCTTATCTATGTCTAAATACCAATGCCAATATTTATAGTCAATATCAATAATTAATTATGTCATTGCTAAGCAATTTAATTTTGTACTTACCAGAAAAGGTCCACCAGAATTTCAATGGCTCATTCATTTTCATTTGTTTACAGTGGCTCGTTCTTTATCAAATTCTCATAGCCAAGCTGCGAGGTTGCCACATACGTCTGCATGTGATTATGAAAATATAGGCTAGTGATACATTTATGCGATGTGTGGTCATTTTTACTCCTCACCAAGACGTCGTGTGTCAGAAGTGATGCATGGCCCTTGTCCGCTCATCTAGACTAGGACTAAGTACTTTGCTTGACGAGTTATGGTACTGGCATTTGTGTGTGTGTGTGTATGTTTGTGATAATGATAATAGTGGGCTAAATAAAAAATGGAATAGAGAATAAAATATTTCAGCTGTAACTGTTACCTACCTTTGTTTGCTGTAAAAAGGTAAGTTTTTCAACTACGGTTATATATTCTACTAGTAGTAGAATAACACTCTTAGATATAAAAAGTAAACTTTATTTTATTTTATTAGCACGTAAGTACAAATTTTAACAGATATTCTAATTCAAAAAGTTACGGGAATCTCTGTAAATAAAGCTTAGTTTAGCAAAAATTTCACAGCAGAAAAAGGAACAAAAATGGTGAAAAGATTGCAGTTCACGGCTACCGACAATCGTTCACTATTTACCATCCATAATCATCAATCGGTCCATTGAAATCGGATACGTGGTGTTGCGACGGTGTACCCTAATTACGCTAATCGAAGGAGCGGGCGCGGGAGCGGGAGCTGAGCGAGAGCGGAGCGGACTCGCACGTGGCGGGCTCAGGTGCGCCCCGCCCCGCTCGCCCCGCCCGCCGCTAGTTTGACGCCGCGTCAACTCAGCCGCTCACCTCGTCGTCAGACGCGCGCTGCACTCGACGCTCGAACGCCGGGAAAACACGAGTCGTTTTTCGCCGCGACGACACGCACCGAAGTTTTCCGAATTTTGAAGTTCGATTCTTGAATTGACTGTAACGGTCGTCTTTGATTTTAGTAGATTTTATTGTTTTATGATTCTAATTTTTTTGTAAAATATTTTTTATGTGAAAAGTGTCATCAGATAAACTTGTGGGATGTTTAGTGATTTTGTCAACGTTGTGTTTGGTCGTAAAGTTGGCTGTTGCCGCTGTTGGTCACTCTAAACTTTGAATAGGAGTGAGTATATTAAATTGTCTTTTTATTGTCATTTTATTCTGCTGTCATAGAAAATTATCGTCAATTGATACAGTTAAAATTGAAAAGGCGCGAGTCGAGAAATCAAAGCGTGTCGCCGTAAATCTCCCAGGACGCAGTGGATTCAAACTGTCCACTTGACACGGAACATTAAAAGTTATTATATCCCGAGAGCTTTTAGCATTAGTAGATCTTAAAATTATATTATAACTCGATTTGTATTTATTGGAGAGACTTTGTTACATTTATAGAATTATATATTTTTAAACAAAAATATTCGTATCTTCTAACATACCTACCATTATGATGTGTAGGTAATTTTACAAACATAATTTTATGAAGCTCAACACATCAAATTGAATATTTTTCTTTACTGGACTCATAATAAAATAATATAAAACTAGAACACTGGATATCCTTGTGCAATATCAAATAACAAGGACATAAAAACACAAAAGCAAGTTACTGTTAATACCAAACGACACAATAAAAGCTATCAAAGTGCCGAATTAAAATTAAAACAGACACCGAGGCATGCTCATCAAAGGATGTCTGGGAATAAACAACGTTGTAGGAAAAAAGTTTAAAAGAAAAAAAAAGACAAAAGCAATGAAATCGTTCGGCCCATTTAATGTGGACCGGACGGGTGTGACAAAAATTCTAAACTGAAATAAACTGAACACATGTGACTGTATGTCTCACGATGGAGGAAAGAAATGATTATTAAAAGCAGTACTGAACAATTTGATAGGAATAACAATATTCGGTTTGCCAATCTCTAAAGCAATAAACCTTTAGGGCCCTATAGCATCCTATTGAAGTACACCTATATTTTTTTATAGCAATAGCAAGTTCTTCTAGTGAATTTTTCTCTGAAATTACTTTCATTTCTAGAGTTTAACTTAAACGTAATAGTTAAATATTTAATAGGAAATAAAAATGGTGGAATCGACCAGAATTTATCATAAGTTATGTTGTGATCTTCGATGATTGATGACTATATGGTTTCATAATCTTCAGTAGCCGGTGTTAGATTTTAAGTTGTAGGAAAATCCTTTACGGCAGTTGATCATATTTAGTTCTGTAAGTAAAATAAAATCATAATAAAACATTATTCATTACTTTGTCTACTGTTCAAATCTAAACTTCAGGATTAAATAAATAGCTAGAAAACCTTGTATTTTACTTAACATTTATTTCAATTCTTTACTCGTGTATCTTTAATAATTCCATTTCGTCTATCCAATGTAGTTTCTTAACACTTGTTAGTTTATCATTTTGATCAATTAATCTGATAGCTGTAACTCCAATTAACTTCTGAGAAAGATAACGCTCCACGTTGATCGTCATACTATTATGTTCAGTATTCTGTTACTTATTGTGAAATTTAGAATCTTGTGCTATGAACATCATTCAATCTTATTCCTTTTCTACTAAATTATTTCAATGTTATTGATTTGAAATCGACTTCATAATTCTTATTCTATTGATTAGATATAACTACCATAAATATTGTGATTTTATTAAACACCTCCTTATATAGTTATAAATTTTGTTAACTGCTTGGCTTTATCGTCCAATTATGAAGATGAGCCATTCATTGCGCATAAATTACAAAGTGGCGCAAAATTTATTAAAACCTGTTCCTAACCTTTAAAGTTACTTTTCGGTTTGTTAATGTGGTTAAATATTAAACAGCCTAACATTTTATTAAGGTTAAAAACTGAATATAACGTCACTAAATGATATACAAGCGATAAAAATAAAAAAATCTTGAAAAAGTTACATATTTTTCATAACACAAAGGTGTAATACGCCAAAATTGCGTTGTCCGACTAAAATTCTCACATTTATCATTCAGAGAGCAAATGCGACAAATAAATCGGGTGCACAATGACTGCTAATTTGCTCATAAAGATGTATGCACCGAGCGGAGTACATAAATCGGGAGAAGTCACATTCGGCCTACCGCTTACACCCATAAACCTCTGCGGACACTTTTATAGCCCTACCACGTGGCTGAGCCGCAGTTTTTTCCACACTTGACATCTGTACTGCGCTTTAGGAAGTCACATCCCAATATTAATTTATTGTTTTAGAATAGACCTCCAGCGTGACGCAAGTGGTACATGTGTTTAGTGATTTATGCAACTACTGTTGAGTAGGTACTGCAAAAACGAAAGTGACCGTAAAATGAACCACGTTGCAAACTGTGTTATCGCTTGTGATTAGGGCCCACCCTGGCGAATACTTGAAACGAACATAAAAATAACTGCTTTTTGACAGGTTTTTAAAAAAGGCACTAACCCATTTCACTCTTCAAACTATAATTAGTTACATGTAACTCTGGATATTATAGTTTGAATATTTATATGTTTGTTAGAATTGAAGACCATCACTATTTAAATACAATAGCATTCTAATTTTATCTATAGGTCATGGGAATAAAATATAGTTCTGGCATTATACCATAATTCACATTCGACAAAATACAATACATATTTAAATCAAACACTCAAGATACAATCTGTATTACAACATTTATCACGTATAACGAGACGACGCACTTGACCGACTAATGTGTCTCATTTTATCACAGGTCCATCAATCAAGCTCCACTCTACGGGGACAATTGAAACGGACCGCGAACATCAGTAGCACTTAACATGTCCAACTAGACTATTCTGTGCTCGTCCAAACGATGACAAGTGCCGAGTGATCTTGAGAAGAAGGACAAAATAAGCTGTTATCGATGAACGAACTAAATTATAACGCAGGGATGAGCTCCTACCAATTTGTCAACTCGCTTGCTTCCTGTTATGGGAATCAAGCGCCCGGGCGTACTGGGACGCCCGTGGATCAAGCAGGCCATCCCGGGTTACCAACACCTGGAGCTGATTACTACAACCCAAATGCGGCCGCGTCAGCCTATCCAAATGCTTGTTATTCGCCGCCGCAAGTTGGACATCACTATCCCCAACACCCATATGGAACACCTGCAACCGGAGCTCATATGCAACCACAAACAATGATAGACTACACACAGTTACATCCCCAAAGACTGGGCAGTTCGGCAAGTCACATGCATCAACACTCGAATCCGAGTCCAGGAGCATTATCTCCGAATTTAATGTCCACACCACCGAGTCAGGCTGCTGGAGCTAGTTGTAAATTCGCTGATTCTACATCTACTACAGGAGTAGCCTCTCCTCAAGATCTATCTACTTCCTCTGGACCAGGTCGAACGTCACCTGGTTTTGGAGGTGTTGGACAGAACTCTAGTGGAACCACCAGTACCAAACTAGGCCTAACTACTCCCATCGCTTCTCCAGTAGAACACAAGGCTAATGTGAATCAGAATATATCAAGTCCTGCTTCGAGTACATCAAGCAATGAGAGCAATGAGGCTAATAATTCAAGCTCAAACACAAAGAATTCAAAATCTTCAGCATCAAACTCCTCTGCTAATCCTCCGCAAATATATCCATGGATGAAACGAGTACACCTAGGACAAAGTAAGTGCAAACATTTTTAACCGATTTTCCTTAGATTTAAGATCATAACGGTAAAATATTTTGTCTTATTAATGAATCTTCACTCCGAGAATAATCAATATAACAAACCGCTCGATTCACACTTTTTTTACTGGTAGCGTGAAATCATAAATGATTTAGCTTCGTCGGTTAAACTAATAACGGCAGCACCGCCACGCCTCTATCAAAAACCAACAGTTTGATGTAATAGAAATAAAACAATCCATCAATTGGATGCCGAGGTGGAGACAAAACAAATTATATATCTATTTATAAAGCATTAGCATGCATTAATGTTGGATCGATATGGCTGGCTGATGGATGGTGTCCATAATAAGGCATAATGGCTTTGTTGGCGGGCGCTTACATCTGAACATCCGAAGCCTTTTTTCTTCTCGTATCCTAATGATGGGGAAAGCGCGTAGTCACCGTGACGGTTCATTTGACGTATCCTAACCTTTAGGCGTGAATTGGGTTATTCAAGGGTTAATCAGCTTTAAATTAGAATTCGGGAGCAAGCAACCACTTTTTTCATTTCTTCAAGCAATATTAAATGCTGGAGTTCTTTAGTGATTTCATTATGTTTTAAAACGTAAAATTTAAAAAAGAAGAGACCGCGGTTTACGTCTGTGTTCTTAATTGCTTCGTGTGGACAGCGTCTAGTAAAAAGTTTAAAAACACAAAATTCGAAATCAAAAAGTGATATATCAGGTAGATAACCGTTCGCAACAAGAGACAGGATGCCACCACGCCTGTCAGTAGATGTTCCATTCCCGATATAAAGACAAGAGCAGATGTCAGCAGCCCACTGTTCCGGCGAAATTATACGAAATTCGTATTGTTACATGTAGCACAAGTTTATTTCGACCTTGCCAAGGCCTACGATGTTTTTTTAATTGGTTTATTTTTGCTATCCTTACGCATGTGGTTGTTCATCATCCTCATGATGGTGACCGAGATTTTTACTATTTGTGACAGTTTATTTTCGATACACTTTCTTACATTTTGGTTGATTTTTACTAATGTGTTTGTAAAAATAATCTTTTCATTAGTTAAAACTCTTTAGCTGTCTCGTTCTCTTACATCTTCTTGCGTAAGGTCGTATGATTTATTGACGGTATTTTCAACATAATCTTATTCTACGGGAATGTGTAGATATGTGAAGAATGCAGTTTTGAGATTAACAAGAACTGGGACATGATTGTACCTATCGAATGAGTTTAAAGCACTCGTTACAAACAAACTAAACACTTAAAATAGGTTTTCTTTAAAACTCTGTTATTACATATAACAAGTCTGTAGGTTTGACAAAGCCTTATTAAAATGTACAGTTCAACCGCTAGGCCTATTGCAGACGGGCCACTGTTAGTATGTTAGGTAACGACTTCAGAGTAACTTCAGAATTCCATACAAGAATAAATTAAATATTTAGAAATAATAGAACAATTTGCAAAATATACTTTCATGTGTCAATATTTTCGAAATCATTAAATATTTAAAAAAAGTAGCTGATAGTCTTACACCAAACTATTATAATTATATTGAGAACATACTAAAACAAACCCATGAGACGAATGTTCATTTAGCTTCTATGTCTATTAACATTGGTTGACATCTGAATAGTAAATCAACTGATTTAGTATTCCTAACAAACAATGCTGAAGTAGATCTGTAGATATATCATTATACAACTCAATTAAGAGGAGTATTTTAAACTAGTCATACGCCTATGCGTATTGATTTATCTTCTATGTTTGACTGTCTGTATCTAAGTTGAATACTTTTACTATTAGGTACATATTATATTTCATTCTAATTTGTAGTTCTGTCTTTAGACTTTGCTTTTGTAGTAGAAAAGGAAAAAAGAAGGGGGTTTAGTTTGACCTGTATGTATGTTTGTGGGCGATTATCTCGCGATCGGCTAAACCCATTTTCATGCGGTTTCCAGAAAAGTGTTTATTACACTTAGGAGAAGGTTATATATAGTATCTATATTACATTAATATTTTTTCGGCTTACTCACGTAATAATTTGACGATTAATGCGATTGTCGCGCTGCTACTGTCGCCGCGTCGCGGGACGCGAAATGCTGCTCATGAATATGAGCCTCTAGCATGGCTTGAAACTAGTCGAGTTCCTCGTCAAATTATTACGTGAGTAAGCCAAAAACATAATAATTTATTTAGTACATATCTATAATAATAAACAGAGAAGGTATTAAAGTCGGACTTTTTGAACGTAGTTTATAAAAGAATTATTTAATAATTTTTTACTTTCTTTATCTGTAGCTCCGTTTGGTCTACCATAGTTAAGTAAATCTTCACTATTTAATTTGCACAATTAATTTTAAATAAGGAATATCCTTAAGCTGCCGTATAACATACAAACTAAATTTTATTTTCAGTCAATCGATATTTGTACTGTTTTTTTCAAATGAAACCATTTAGATTCAGTCGTACAAGTCGCCGGACTGCGACAAACTGAAGTATGCAAATAGAGTTGGCAGGCGGCTAGGTCGTGTTACATGTTTGGTGGTAATAACTCAAGGAGAGGTGGAAGCCACCGCCCTACGTGCGTGCCGTCTGACTGCTTATAAGAATTCAATACACCGTTATTTAGCACTAGTTACATACTCCAAGTATGGTATTAATTTGCCCGTAAAAATTAAGTTGTTTGGAAAAATTGCGTGAAAATTTTTGGATAGGCCTGAAGGTGTTGCGGCACCAATATAATTGTTAAAAGGTTTAAAAATAAAAAGATTATAATTGAAATTTAGTTTTAAGTTACACACACATTTTAAATCATAGAACAGTTACAAACACTATTCTTGTTTGCAAATCTTACAAAATATATTACTCGTCTCATAATATATAACGAAAACATCTATGTGGTGTGTAAAGTCGCGGAGAACCTAACGGGTAACCGGGGCTCCGGCCCGACGTGCAGGAGAAGGAACGGGGTGGTTTTTAGTCAGTAAGAGTCTGACACTCCCTCCCGCCTCACCCAGGCGGGAGCAGTAATTCGATGATATTGCCCCCTTAAAAAAAAAATGCGGTGTGTAAAAGTTAATACAAATAATTTAAAGATTAACTTTGAATCAAAAATTAAGGTGTGAGAAAATTACAGAGAAGGTGACAAGCCAATACCTCATCCATAAGTTTCTGTGAACAAAATAAATGGCCCACTCACTGGAAAGCTTTGATTCAACCATTGTATCATGTCGGGTCATCGAGAAAGCACTGGGTCAACGTCAAGAAACTTAATTAATGCCATAATATTTTATAAAGATTTTGCAGGGATTAACTTAATCACAGAACTTACTTAAATGCATAACATAATCCTCGACTAACATCGGTCAGATATAACATCTTTTTCTGAATCAAAAAAATCTTGAATACTCTTTTTATTGCAAGCGTCGGAATCAATTTAAAAGCTACAAATTATATATAATTACATATTATTACGCATGTAGATTGTAGTACAGCTCTGTATAGGTAGATAAATATCGCGTTAAATCAACCCAATTTTGTATAAATTATGGAGTTATAGTAGCAAAGGTTTTCAATTATCTTGAAGTGGACATTGAAAATACATTAGGGTCTTACCCTTGTTAGATCGTGTCTAATCTTGTCAATGTTAACTTTGTACTAGTTTGATAGTGACTGTTTTAGTGCTAAGAAATTAACGGTTTTGAAAACGAAGTTAAGTGATATTGCTTTAACTTAATATATTCATATATAAACGCACATAAGTGAAAAAGAGTACATTATCGTGATAAATCATAATATAATAAACACCTTTGCCTATAGGTAGAATTGTATATGAAGTGGTAATTGTTAAGTACTGGTTTTTATAATAGTAGGTACTGCAATTAGGTGTCAAGAGAGACATGGATTCATTGTTATTAAAAATATTATGCATATACAATTTTCGTTAAGTTATCGCAATTAAGAAGGGCTACTAATGAACAAAACTAACCTAAACTGGTTACAATATATCTGTAGCTACCAGATTAAGACTAGCAACTTCTGATATTACCTACGACAAACCAGAAAATAGAAAACATAGGGAATTAATTCATTACAAATCTCTTAAAAACTAATAATAAACTTCTTATAAGTACGTAGTTGTATAAGGCGTAACGATTGAAACAACCAGATACAGACTTAACAAGCTATTTCTAACTAAAATTCCTTTAAACGATAAGGCGGTCCACACGCGAAATTTGGTCGCTTACGAAAACTTAAAACGTTGGAAACTAATCTTGTACCATTTGTAATTAAAAACGTGCTAACTGCCTCTTTCAAGTAATTCTGAGGCTCCCAGGTAGAGTATTTAGAGTTCGATTTCTGGTTTAGGAATTGTCAAAGTATTCACTTTTAAAAATTCTCAGTTGGTTTTCTTAACACCGAATTCAGGCAATATATTTAGTAAATTATTTGTAAAGAACTCCATAAATATAGTATTAATTAAGTTTACAGTACAATGATACAATATTCCCTCAGAGGCATAACAACAATACCTATATATTTAACAAAAATGAAGTAATATCCGCGTAATTGAATTAAATAACCATTTATAATTGTATTACAAGAAAACTAGGATTATAGCCAGTTATAACAATTAATAAACTGATAATATATTGTGCAGTCTCATTTCAATATGAAATACTGACTGATCTCATAAATAATACCTTGATTACTTCCTTCTATGCAGGTTTTATACCTAGATATTAGATATTGCTATTAAGAGTATTTAGTCTAACATATTGAGGTTTTTAATTCCTTGAAGCGATAGACAAAATTATAAGAAGGTGGAGAGCCCATCACCATTATACTAGGCGCAATTCTAGATTCTGTAGGTACTATCAAAACCTTTTTGTAAAGCCTGTAAATGCTTTGTATAATCTGGGCAGGACTAAAAACCGAAACGTCACTAGGCAGAGGTGCACATTACGGCACTTAATGCCACTGTACAATGTA